GATAAATCGCGAACACACACACACACTCACACACACTTTCGTCCGTGTGTGTGCGCCGTGCGAGAACAGTGAGTTTGTGTGTGTCCAGGTAGCTTGTTACTGAACGCGTGTACAGCCTCCCCTTTTCCTTTTCGTCCATATTTTGGTATTTTTCCTTCATTTTGAAATTTTACCCGCCCCGAGTTGGCTTTCAAATTCGGCCGTCGAAAGAGGATTGGTGGTCAGAGGGCCCCAGTCAGCGTCACGGCACAGTCAGGCACAGCCAGGCCCCCCGCCGCCACGCTGGGATCGCACGGCGCGACGCACATCCTAATTGCGTGTAATAACATCAATTTGAGTAGATTGTTTTTATCAGCCAGCTCGTGTCTTTTTGCCGAATCCAGGCGAACGCCCAAAGGACACACACACACGGCGTAACCCAGCCCTTCTAGTGTAGTCTCGGGAGCAGCGACTTTGATGAGACTGCATTATGGTAATGGCTCAAGATGCCATCAATAATTACAGCAAGTGTTTAGACACACCGGAGGGCCCCCGTGCGAACGCATTGCTTGCATCGAGACTCCTTTTATATATAGCGTGGGGCGGACGGCGTGTTTGCGCAGTGCGTGTGTGTGTGAGTGTGTGCGTCGAGATTCCCTTACATCGCCTCCCTCGCTCTCACACACACACGCACACACACGCAGCCACAGCGACGTCCCTCGTCCCGATTGGTTCAGCACACAAGGTTACGAGCTCGGCACTGCTTATCTTGAAGGCGTCGGGGTCAGCGTCGTGCATGCGGGGTGCCTGCCTGCAGGCTGCTCCCGAGCATCTGTCTCTCTCGCACCCACACGCGACGGCCCCTGAGTGCGAGAGAGACGGAGCGCAGCCTGCAGGCCGAGGCGGCTGGCTGCTCTGCCCCCGTTTCCGACCGGTCATCCAAGAATGCGCTAATCTGCGCTGGCGACACGGATGTTTGCAGTGCCGCTCCGGAACGGCGCGAAAAAAATAGTTTGAAAAAGGGAAAAAGGTTCAAAAGTTGCGCTGTGGACGTGTATTCGGTGCGCGTCTCCTCTGCTCGGTGCACGAGTTGTCGTCCGGCCAGACCACTTTCTGCCGCCGTTCCCGAGAAAAGAAAGACTCGTCGCCATGGAGCGTTTTTGAAAGCCGTTGGCGTGGATTTGGTCGCGGCGGCCGACGCGAGTCTCGCGAGACTCGAGAGGCGGGGACGATTTCTTGTCACCTTGGCCTTCGATGACACGGCAATTACGGCAGCGCGCGCTTTTTTCAAAATGCCGCGGGAGAAAACAAGGGCAGTGCGGCGTCGCGTCGTCGCGCTGCCCGCGGCCCCACCGCGGCCCCACCGCACATACCAGTACAGCAGGTGGCTACACTGCCAGACACTTATCGGGGCCTAATTAGGGGACCACCGAGTGCGAGAGAGACGGTCGCCTATCGCCGCGGAGCGAGAAGAAGGAGAAGGGGAGGCAGTGGGGTGCCCCACCCCCGAGGCGGGGTGGGGGTATCGTGCCTCAATTATGACCAATTACAGTGTGAGGGCGATGGTTCGGACGTTGTGCCCCGCCACGCCACGCTGCGCCACGCCGCGGTCAAGTTAGTTGAATTTGGAGGGGGTAAAGCAGCCCCCTTCTGGTCCGGGTGGAGAAAAACACAGGGGGGCGGCGGCGGCGACACGGCCGCAACATTCTCTCTGCAATTACCATACATTTGTTGCGAAAGAAACCCGAGCGACTTCCCTGACCACGCATTTGGCGAGCCCCGGCCGGACTACCCCGAGCGGGCCGCCAAATCTCTCATCCTCAGTCCGAAGTGGGCTGGCGAGCCGTCGTGGTGCTCTGACGCCGTGCCGCCCTGACGCCGTGCCCCGCGGTGGCCGTCCACTCGGGTGTGGCCGCGGCAGGCCGCAGGAAAGGAAGGGCGTACGGGCCACACCTCTCCGCGACACTTCCCACTATTGTCTGTCTGGCCCAAGGGGACCACAGCCGGCAGAGCTCTAGTCTCTCTCGCACTCAGAGGGCGGGCTGTTTCTGTGCAAGAGAGACTGACAGAGAGAAGAAACTTCGTGTGGAACCAGTCAGCAGAGAGACTCGGGGCGTTCGTACGGCGCCCTGCATAGGGCAAGGCTGGTCCTCTGCAAGGTCGGTTGGCCCGCCCGACCGCCACCGTCTCCGACGGTTCGCGGCGGGGCGGACAGACGCCCACCCGGTCGCCGTCGTCCCCGCACCTCGCCGTCGACCCCGCGATCAGCTGTTGGCCTAAATCCAGGCCGGCCTCACCCCTCAGCGAGGACAGAGGGTCCGGCTGTCTGCCGCCTTGCACGTCGCCCGCCCGCCTGTCCGTCTGCCTGTCTGCCTGTCCGCTCGCCCGCCCGCCCGTCCGCCGCGCGTCACATTCATCGTGCGCCCCGACTTCTTGACGTATCAATGGGATTACCTACGCGGCCAGCAGTCCGTCTGTCTGTCCGTCCGTCCGTTCGGCCGGCCAGACCCAGTGGATTTGCATTACTTGAATGCTCGGCCAGACCAAATTCCAGGTTAGGGTGTCGATGTCTTGTAAACGGCGAGCATTACAAAATGACTTCAACTCGAAACATGACATGCCCCGCGACGCAGGGCGCCGAAAGGCGTCCAGTTTCAGGGCACGCCTTAGTACTTTGAGTGGCCAGGGAACGCGTGCGCGCTTACGGAGGGCCCCTCGTTGTCTCATTGGCGCCTCATCCGTCGCTAGCGGGCTATTAAAAAAATGGTTGGCTGAGTTATGTCCGGGCCATTACACCTTGTGCAGTTGTAACCCTGAGAGAGTGGGGGTACGGAGGGGAGGGGGAGGGGGGGGGGAGAAGGGAGGGGAAGGGAGAGGCGCACCGGAAAAGCCGACGCTGCCGACCGAAAAAAAAAGAAAGACAAAAGAAAACGGCGAGGCCCAGCGTCGAGCAAAAGGCGTCACGATTTTTAGGAACACAAATTGCCGAGTGCAAATAATGCAGCAGGAGGGCCAACATGCGTTATTTCTTAATCATTTCACCGACGAGAGAAATGCGGTTTTGGAAACCTTGGTTTCGTGACCCTGCTGCAGCAGGGCCTCACCGGCCCCGTCGGTCGGCGCCAGACAAGACAAAGAGGAAAAGCGCATCGGCCCGGCCGTCCCTGTAATGGTTTTCGAATCACCCAGTGGCCGAGCCGAGAGCCGAGGTGGCCACCATTTGGAGCGACCGGCGCGCACCCTAGCGGAGGCATCCCGAAGCGCCGCGGCACCGGCCAGGCCCGCCAGCCCACGCGGCACACGCGCCAGGAAGAGGTGCAGTAGCCAAACGCGCCGCCAAAATAACACTTGAAACAACGAACTTCAAGTAGCTCGTTAATCTGATGGGCGTGAAACGAGGGGGAAAATTCAACACACTGGTGCCCCCCCCTCCCCGAAAAACACCGTTTAGTCTAAAGTAGGAGACCGGCCGGCCGTGATCGCGCCGATAATTATTGAAATTAATCAAGTGCGACTCGTTCCTGCGGCGAGACGCGGCGCAGTCCGTTCCGTTTCATACGCCGGCTGGGTGGTCGGCCCGTCCCGCTCAGATGGAACGGCCAGACATCAAATCGATTTATCAAGTAAACACAGAGGACGTGACACATTGGCCGGGCCGGGCCGGACCGCGAGGATGAACCAATCTCGGAAGACGAGAATTAGACAAAGTTTTCTAGTTGGAGAGCTTTTCGCTCCACGTCACCTCTTGCGCCGGTAATTACACTCATCACGAATCTCGGCCCGGCTGTCTGTCTGTCTGTCTGTCTGTCTGTCTGTCTGTCTGTCCGTCCGTCCGTCCGCTGTCACGCTACGCGCGTCCCCGCCACATGCGAACTTACCACCCCTTTCATTAGCACCAAGCGCTAGCCTTTGCGCTGCCGTATCATTACATTTGGAATATAACATTATGTCCATGTCGGTGAAGCCATTCCGGTCTTGACACGGGGCCGGCTTACATCGTGCCGGTAGGTCACGTTCGCGAGGCAGACAGTGTGGCCGTCCGGGATGGCTCAAATTCACTCCGAATTAGCGTACCCACGCGCAAACGACCGCCGCGAGAGGGGGACTCAATTTCCGGAATGAATTTTCTTGTTATTTTTCCGATTGGCTCGACTACACTGGAATGGAGACTGGGAGAGGGGCCTTGCCGCGGCGCGCCGCCGCCGCACCCTCCGCAGCGCCCCGCCCCACCCCGCCCCACCCGCCCCACCCGCCCCGCCACGCCCCGCACGATGACAGCTCGCCAAGATTTATGCCGCAGCCGCGAGAAATGACAAGGCCCCCTCACTGCTGGGTTGGGCCCCTGCCCTTCCCCCGCCCCCTCCCCCGCGGACCCCCGCCCGCCCACTGCAGCCCGAGGCCTCCATCTTTACCCTTCGACTGTCTTCGGCCACCTTCGGGCCGCCGGGCCGTCGGCCGCCGCGAACGGCGCGCGCGCGTGCAGCTCGCCAACTAGTGCGCGCTCCAGGTTGCTCGCTCCAGGTGGAGAAGTACATCGCGCACCTGATCGACGTCGCGGAGGTACAAGTGGCGCGGCGTGGCGGTGGATCGGGGAACCCGCTTCGGCGACCTGGGCACCGCGGTGGAGGGGGCCGGATGACACACCCTCCCTCCCCTCCGACGGTTCAGCACACAATGCAGTGATCCACCTGGGCCAGAGCGCGGCTGGCTACCTGGGCGGGGCGGGCGGGCCGCTAGTGCTGTCCTTTTAATTCAGGCAGACGTCAATCAGGACTCCCACTACTACCTGCTGCCATTCAAACGCTGCACGCGTCACCGGCCGGCAGCACGGCCAACAATGGGCACGGGGAGCCGCTCGTAAACAACAATCAGTGGTTTTACAGCAAGGCTGTGGGCGGGCGGACGGGCACCCCGTCCTGCTGGAGGGCTGTTGACCCCGGACGGCGCCACCGCGGCGGGGCGGGGCGGGCGGTGGGGGTGAATCCGACTCGAGTGTCGCCAATTAATAATCTCTCACTCACCTGCTATGGCCATCCAGGGGTAGAAGGTGTGGTTGGAGGGCTGCTGGTGGAGCTGCGTCGCGACGGCGGGCTGGCTGGACGTCGAGTTGAGGGAGCACGTGTTCCACGAGCCGCCCAGCGAGGTGGCCGACGACGTCCTGGCGGTGGCGGAGCCCGGTGACGTGGAGGGGTCGCCGCCCACGAGGCCGACGGAGCCGCCGTAGCCGACGCGCGAGTCCGGCGTGCAGGCGGACGGCCTCACGAGGCTGTTGGAGCCCACGGCGTTGCCCGAGTTGGCCGTCTGCCACTCCTTGGCGGCGGCCACCACGGCGGCGTACCTGCGCAACGAGCACGCCGTCAGCGACGAGGAGTATTTCGGGGCGGAAAGGCCGAAATAAACACGCCAAGTTTGCGGCGAGTAGGAAGGCACATTGTGAAGGTTGGGGGACATGCTGTTGCACACACTTGTCCCACACCACAGCATCGTCCACCCTCGTGCAGCGAGCCCTGCCCGGCCCTGCCCGGCCCGGCGATATGGCGCGAATCAGCTGATTCTGGCCGAGCTTCGCCCGTTTGCCGGCAGGGGGCGCGGCGCGCAGTCGCCGCTCGCGCTCTCTCGCTCGCACCGTCTCTCTCTCCCTCTCCGTCGCACCCACCCGCGCGCGCTCCGGGCGCCTCGCCGAGGCCGGATAACAACAGGCCCTCGATATAATGCGATGAAAATTAGAGAAAAATATACTGGTTTTTAACAAGGCTGTTGGAGCGGACGCCAGATTATTCGATAGACTTTGAAATAAAATTCGCAAAATTTATCAAAAGTTTGTTCAATTTTTTTCTAAGCAAAGCTTCCTAGACTTCATTTATTTTATTCATCACTTGGAGGAATAATTTTCATCCGTTTCTTATTTGTCACATTCCTTGCCTGGGGCTGGGATTTTATCGTAAACGTTTACCCTAATGACTACCAATTGCACTACTAGACCTTCTTTAAAAACCCGTACCGCAGACCCGTCGACCCCTTTCAGACCGCGTTCCCAGGTGGGGAGAGGGTGGCGACCCGGACCGAAGACTGAGGTAAGTGAAAAACGGGAAGGAGAGGGGGGAGGGGGTTGCTACTCCTGGTCAATATCTAATAATAATGATAATAACAATAACGGGATAATAAAGCAGTACATCTTGCCCCCCGCTTTGGCACAAACATTTGTTCGGCGCGTCTTTTATGCGCGGTGAAGTGGTCCACAATGCAGTGTAGCGGTCGCCCGGTGGCCTCGCCCTTTGCTGAGCCTCTTCTTCCTTCTCGCCGGGGGTGTGACCGATCACTTACAGTGCGGCCGACCGCGGCTCCTTGTCTCTCTCGCACCTTCTTTCGCCACCTCCGCCCGCTCATTAGGGGCGTCGTTTAACGGTGGCGGCGCGACAGAGACGGAGAAAGACGGCAGTGGGAGCGGGGAGAGGGAGAGTGCAACAGCGTCCTGTGAATAACCCTTTTGTCCTGCCTATACCGCCCCCTGCGACTGCCGCGCACTGCCGCGCCACCCCAACTTGTCCCGCCCTATCAGCGACCTGTCGCGGCGCCGGCCAGCCGTCGCTCTGTCTCTCTCGCACCCCCGCGGGACGCCCCACGAGTGGGAGAGAGAGAGACCGCTCGGTCTTAGCTCGCACGGCGGGGCCGCGCAGATACGCCTTTCTTCCCCGTCGCCTTATCGGCACTGCGTGTTTTGTAGCTAATTGTCTGTCTCGCGCGTCACCTCGCCCCGAGCCTCGCCCGGTCCACGCGATGCACTGCTTCTTTATCGCCTTGCAGCGAAATGCGGCCCTGCATTATCAGGCAGCAATTTGCTCTCGCGTCGCAGAGGTGACCTCTCTCTCTCCCCTCTCACCCTTCTCGGTGCAGCCTTTGGACCCCTGGCTGCAGACTGATTGATTTTCGCAGGCGGAAGTGACCCCCACGACCCACACCGAGTCTCTTCGTACACAGCCGAGAAAATTCCCCCTCCGCGGGTGCACTTTGGAAAAGCATTTTCTCAAGTTGAGGCATTTTACATGGCAAGGGTTAACTACGGTTTTGGTTGACAAAAATATTCTACTCATTTCAGCTGCTAAAGTCCTTTATTTGCTACGTGATTTTCTTCGGCCAAGTCGGCAAAGTGAGCCGCCTTGCGCGCGCCACGCCAACCTACCCATTCTGGTGCTGCTGGGAGTCGGAGAGGCCGGACTTGACGCAGTCCGTTTTGCCCGAGCCCGTCGAGTAGTTGACGGAGCCCTGCTGCGACGAGTCCGAGGTGGCCGAGTAGAGTTTGCAGGCGGCCGCGACGCTGGCGTCGTACGGCGAGTCCTGTGGCGGCCGGGCCTGGTGCAGGTGGTGGTGGTGGTGCTGCGAGGACGTGTACGGCGACATGCCCAGCCCCAGCGGGAAGCGGTAGGCCGCCGCCGTCTGGTCGTGGTGGTGACCGGCGGCGCCCGCGGCCGCCTGGTGATGGTGACTCCCGTAGAAGCCCGTCTGCTCGAAGTACGAGTTCATGGTGGCAGCGATGGTGGCGACTTGCTGGGGACTGGTGGGGTCGAAGAGCTGTCCGAGTCCCGGGGAGGACGTCGGGGCCGCGCTGAGCACGGGGGCCGTTTGGAGCGTGGTGCCGCGGTGCTCAAGGCCCGGCCTCGCAGCGGACCTTCGAGACGTGCGAGAGGGTCTTCTTCACGTGCTGGCCGACGCGGGTCGCGGGGACGCCTCAGAGGTCGTCGTCATGGCGACGGACCGCGAGGAGGACCATGTTGGGGCGGATGGCAGCGGGTGGGGGTCGAACTGACAGCTGTCAAGAGGTTGACAGCGGCTTGACAGCGGCCAGGGGGCGTCGCAGAGTGGCACGGTGATTCCACGCGGGTCACTCCTCACACGCACACTTTCACAATCACTGATCACTGCAGATCCAAAGAGTCGGCGGCACTTGACACTTCACACTGTGGCGGCACAATCACTGATCACTTTTCTCACGGCACTCAGGAAACGATAAAACCCGGCGAAAGTGTAAGCAAGCACTGGGACACACACACACGGCAGCACAAAGTGAGCGGCAAGCCGGTCGTAAACGGAGGCGATGCGCTCGTAAAAGTCGTGGGGCTCGTAAAGAGGTGTCACTCACGCCCTACAACGGTGGCACGGAGCACAGAGCACTTTGACACTCGGCGAGTCGGGTCGGTGAGGGCCGGAATCGGTCCCAATCCTTTGGACACTTTGACGCGCGATGACAAGTCAATCCGAGCGGCAAAACGTGGAGGGAAGGGCAGGGACAGCACACGCGCACACGACACGCCGCGACGGCCAATGACAGCCTCCCCTTCACACCGGGGGAATTTCCATAAAATTTGATGGCGACGCCCACGACGTCTGGTCGTGTCTCGGCACGTATCGCTGGGCGCGGAACGCGGATCGCGGACGGGACGTCGTCGCGGTGCTCGCGGTGCTCGGCGTCGATGCGCGTCGTGGGGCGGCCGTAACAGTAATGCAGCCTCGGCCAGCCCCTTCCCAGCCGCCCAGCCTTCCCGGCCCCAACCCGGTTCCAACCCGCACGCGCCCAACCTCTCTCACTCCTTCTCTCTCGCTCTCCCTCTCGCCGGCACCTCTCGTCCCCTCTCTGTCGCCGCCGTCGGCCCGTCTCTCTCCTCGCGCTGCGCGGCGTGGCGCGGCGCTGCCCCTTCTGCTCCCACCTCTCTCTCGCTCCCGCCGCGCGCCGCGCTCGTCCGTCCTCCTCGCGCGCGCCGCCGGGCGCCTCGCTCTCTCTCGCCGCCGCGGAGGCGCCCTCTATCCCTCAGCGCGCCCGATCGCGGCTCCCGCGTGCGAGTGCGAGAGGGACGGCGAGCGCGGCCCGCGCCGCGGAGCGAGAGAGCGCGCGCGCTGTTTAGATGAATAACGCCTACACGGAACGACGCGGCAAAGCGCAGACGGCGATTACAGAACAGAGATAGAAACTCGGCGGTGGAGGGGGGCGTCGCGCGACGGAGAGCGCACCGCCGCCGCGCCGGCAGAGCGAGAGAGAGGGAGCGAGGCGCGGCGAGGCGGGAGGGGGAGCGGCGGTCGGCCAAATGAACCAATCAGAATCAGATTCGTCACGGCGGCCGTGAACAGGCCATCGCGCGCTCTCTCGCACTCCATGCGGCGCGAGAGAGAAGCACAGCAGAAAGTAGTCCCTCGCCGCTTCCCCTCCAGCCGCAGTGCAGCCGTCTCCGTCGCACGCACGCGGCGCGCCGGGCAGAGCTTCGGCCTTCCGCCGCCCAGAGCGCGCTGCTCGCCAGAGCGCTGCGAGCGTCGCCCCACCACCGCCACTGGAGGCCCACGGCAAGCCAGCCGGGCCAGCGGCGAGCCAGCGCAGCGGCGGCGGCCGGGCAGGGACCCGTGGCGCGCTCTGGCGGCCGTCGCCCGAACCTGGTCGGGTCGTATTCATTGGCAGAATGGCAGGACAGCGCGTAAGATGGCCATCAAGAGGTTGTGAAAGAGAGCAAGCGGCCCGTTGTTGCTCACCGCGCATAATAGAGACGTTGGCTCTCACTTTTCGGCCGATGCTTTTGTGCGGCACGCGCCGCGGCGCGCCGCCCGACCAGGGCATTCCTCGGCGATAACTTTTACGACCGCTCGCTTTTTACAGCGGGCTAATTGACTGCGCGGCAATCAGGGCCATTGGGGCTTACAGTGTGGCCACCCGGACGGGCAGTGGCGCCCCGCGGGGAAGGACCGCCCTTTTGCTGGTGTGGGAGCGACGTGTCTTCGACGGGTGTGGATTGGACAAACGCTGTCCTGCCCGGTATCAATTACTCTAAAAAGTTTTAAAAAATTAGAAAGAAAAAATTCTGGGAAAAATTGAGTCTCAAATTCAAGGCCGTGACCTTGGCGACTGCTGCACCGTAATGAATAGATTCAATTGGTGATTTAAAGGTCCGGGGCCGCTCCCCTCCAGGTCTACGTCCCTTTAGTTCCGGTTCCACGGCCAGACGGCCACCGTATGCCGGAGAAAGAGACGTCACCTCGACCCGGTCGCCGTGCACCCCTACTGTCAGACCGTCTGCCCGGTCTTCCTTTCAAGGCGGCGAGACGGCGGGGGTACACTAGTACGTTCACCCCGCTTTCGGTCAACCTCGATAACGCTGATGTGCAGACTTTGTTTTGGCAGCAATCTTCTCCCATTTGCCTCCGGACCGCTGGACCCGGGGAACCAGCGGCAATGGCAAGCACCTGCCTTCCTCCCCTGCCTTTGTCCAATGGAGATTTTGCTGGTCGGGCCAGTGAGTCTTCAGCAGAAGGTGTTACTTCAAATGGTTCAAAGGAAAGAGGAGAGGGGGGAGGAAGGGGGGGGGACGCCCTTTGGTGGTTCTTTTACTAAAAAAAAGTGTATGTTCCTGAATCGCATTCACTAGAACTGACAGCCAAGACTCATTTTCGAGTCTGCCCAATTTAGAATCAAATCGAAGTTCAACGGCAGTTTACCATGCTACTACTACTCATCCCCCGTGGCCGAAGTCCACCCTGATGCGGGAGCCCACAAAATAAACGGTGCATTCCAATCATTTCGCGAGCAGCACATAAACAATGCAAGGGACGCTGCTTCTTGAAACAAACACGACTGTATGCTAAGCGGGCCCAACACGTGGACGGCCACGGACAGGCCGGCTTGGACGTTCACACATGCACATACCGGGACGTTCGGGCACGGGGGGCTTGAGAAAGACTGTGTGCGTTTTTATAGCTTGTCGGAGCTTAGTTTTATAGCCCATTTCTCTCGCTCTACAAAGAAGGCGCATGGACACCTCACACGAGTAACCCTGCCGTGCCGTGCCGCCGTGCCGACCCGGGCGAGCGCGTCCCAGGCATGGTCCCATGCGCCGTCAATGAGACGGCCTGCCGGACTGACAGGCTTCATGGCACTTCCTGAACGGGACCACCCCGCCCCGCCGGCCGCTTGACTGTCACCATTTTTGTTTCCAAACCGATTACTTTTCATTTACAAAACGAATCCGTTGGCCAAAATTTTCTGTTTACTTCTCGGTTTACTTAGCCGAAGGTAAAATCTATGCCGCGAGAATCCTTCACTCCGCCACTCACCAGTTGACAATCTGCAACAAAATGAAGCGAAAATTAGTCTCGGCTGGGGGTTCCCCGCGAGGGAAGCTCGTCGGCAAGGCGGGCTGGAGCCAGGCCAGGCTCCGCATGGCGGCGTGACGCCCGCTCCCCCATCCACCGGAGCCGGGCGGGTGGAGCCATCTAGCGGCGGGTGGCTGAACCCGGTCCACGGCCACTCCGGCAGCGCGCGCTTTTTCAAACATTGGCCTGGAACTCGTGCGGACAAGCAGGCCAGATTAGATAGTACTGCCTCACTAGTTCAGGACCGCGTTGCTGGATCTCTCACGCGGGGAGGCAGTCGCTAAATTTGGTGCCAAGCGCGCGATAAGTTCGCCGATTACTTGACAAGCATTCAATTGAAATCATACGAAAAGAGTGTCATTCGCGAAACGCTATTTTGACACGTTAGGTGAAGTTAATGTCTATAGTTCCTGCACCTTTCTGACCGTTCAATCGGAGGTAACCCTGCCACGCATCTCCGTCCTGCACTTGCGAGCTCTGCAGTAATGCACGCCGACTGGCGCAAATTGCACTGTATTAGGCATTCAACCGCCAGCCTTTCATGCTAAACGGTGCTTTCTATGGGGTTTCTTTTCCCTTATTATTGCGCTATAAGGTCGGAACGCTGCCGTGGGCACCTGGCGCCTCGTGGGGCAGGCAACCAGCAAGGCGAAGGAGTGAGTTGAGTCGCTGACCACAAGCATCCGGCACTTCGTGACTGATTACCCCCACCAAACACACATAGACACACACACACACACACACACAGACACAGAGGGAGGAAGAGAGGGAGAAAGGGAGCGAGGGAGGCAGAGAGAAACGGACAGCAAAGAGTGAACCGATACTTGGGTGGACTCATAATATGTATTCAAACTGTTACCACTTTAAATTTTTTACTATTTTTTCAAGAGTACCCTTTGCCACATCAGCTGGCCGGCAAGTCAGGAGATCGTGCCGCAACGGGACGGCGGGACGGCGCTCCAGGATTCGCCGGATGGAGGCACACAACCCGTAATGAAAAGGATCCTTGATCCCGCGTGGCCTTGGTCCTCCAGGACCTTCAGGGAAATGCTTTTCTGGCCGCACCTCGGTGACATCGCAGTTTCGAGCCTCCTCGCCGAACAGCGGCGGGTCAAGAACAATCTCTGGGGCACGATAACCCCCAGAGGGTTAAGAAGTCTAGACGCGTCCGACAATCCGAACGACCGCATTCATCGGCGTACAAAAATTTGCCTTCTCGGTGCGTGGAACGCGCGGTCCGACAGGACAGCCAAGAGACAGCAACTTTTTCTTTTCTGCCGTTTTGAATTATGACACGACAAGGCACGCATGAGCCTATTGGATGCCTATAAAGGATGTCGGTCCCACAAATAAGAAATAAACATAAAATAAGAGGACAACTCTCGGGGGGAGGGGGGGTAGTCGCTCGCTCACGCGCCTTGAGAGCGCGTTGGTGTGTGTGTGCACGTATGTACGGCCTGTGTGAGTGTGTGTGTGTGAGAGTTTGTGTGTGTGTGTGCTTGTGTCTGTGTGTGTTCGTGCGTGTGTGCGCGGGACGGGAAGAAGAGAGCCCGGATACCGGTTTTTCGAGTCTCCATGTTGGAGCACACACACTCCATCAAGGTGCGTCTCCCTCTCCAAGCGAAGAACGCGGAGCGCGGCCAGGAGAAACGACGCGCCACGTTTCCAGGGCTGGGCTGGCGGCCTGGCCGGCCCCATGGCCGCCGCCCCGGTGTCCTGCCCGCCCTGCCCTAGCCCGGGGATTGGTCGCTCGCATTCGTGAATATCAGTTTCACGTTTCGGCCGATAAACCGCCCGCGACACACGAGCGGGTTCCGACTGTGGAGGGTCCGCTTCCAGCGCCGGTGACCGATGGCTCCAGCACGGCCTCCAGAAAGTAGTTTCAACCCATCACTGATAAGCGTTAAAAACTACAACGAAAAAGAGGACCGAAAAGGCGACATTTTTGGTTGAAAGCGGTTAAAAGTGACACTACGATTTGCAAAGGGCTTGATCGCGGCGTCCGTAGCCGCCACGGGACGGTCGTCGGACTGTTACAAGTATTGACGACGCTGGCGCGCTCTGGCGGCCGTTAGGCACGTCATTAAGGGGCAGAAGACCACCCATAAGAATGGACAAAGATTCCATTAGACTGCCGAGCCGTGGCGGTCCGTGGCGAACCGCGCAGGCCGGGCTGCTGGCGGTGGCTACGCCGAGAGGTGTTCAGGTGTCCGTAACCTGCAATTTTGGCCTTCCAAGCAAATCACAAGGGGCGCGAGGAAAACCGGGAGCAAAACAAGAAAAAGCTGCAGGGAAATGAGTGCTTTGGAGTTTAATTCTAGCCGGCGAAAACGCGAAAAACACACGGTAGCCGT